GTTGGCCTCCGTCAAAGAGCCAGCCCATGGTGAGCTCCGTGAAGACTCTGTTATTCTCGCAAGCTGACTGATCCGGAATGCCTCTTGGAAAGTCGCCTCTGAAGGAGCTGATAGCCAGTGGAGACACTGCAGACCTGAGTTGGCATAGCAGTGGTTGCGGGTATTGGCTAGCAGGAGAAAGCCTTCCAGTCTGAACACGGGGTGAGGTATTCCTGGCGTTGAATCTGAAGGCTTCTTTGTGACTGTCTTCGCCGATGCCGTGGACTTTGCTCGAGTGTATTCACGGGGCTGCTTGCTGAGCTGCTGGCGCTCTACCTCCTGCAGTACGTGCACCTGCAGTAATGGAACGCACTGCTGAGCATGTCTACCCGGGGCATCCACACGAAGTTTGCAGTATCGACAGCTATCTCCTTTGTGGAAGAAGACCTTGAATTGATTAAGTCTTGGCTGGAGAGTTTTCTCCAGCTTGGCCATCACCTCAGGATGCTGCTTGTTTAAATGCTGTTTGGCTCCTTTCTGGCCTACGAGGACCTGACCACAGAGTGCACAGTGTTCCATCAGGTAATCATGGAATGCCGGATTTCGAGCGGCACCTTCCGGATTGTCCTGGGCATCGGACTGTAGACTTTCTACTAGTGAGATACGGTTCTGTGCTTCTAAGGGCAGCTCTTCCTGCTGTCTTAGCAAAAGCTCTACCCTAGGGCAGGTTGATGCTTCGACATGTTTGCGCAGATAGAACACTGTTCGGAATGTTGCCCGACAGGCGATGCAAGTTGCTGACCCTGGCATTGAATGCAAAATAGGATCAAATTTGGGTCCTTTCAGGCACTGCTGAGAATCTGGGTGAGCCTTCTGCAGGTGGCGACGAAGTGCTCCGGTGCCAGAGAGACATGCGCCACACTCGCCGCAGGTCAGAAGCCTATCCTCCACTTGATGCGAAGAGAAGTCCGTGGAGAGGCCTTCCAAAGCCTGGCTAACTGCCTCAGCCCGCAACTTATAGTGTGGGAGAAGCTGGGGGTCTGAGTGTTGCTGTCTCTTTAAAAACTGGGTCATTCTCTTTTGCAGCTGCTCCTTCACATGAGGAATCCGTAATCTCCGGAGTAGCTCCTGGTTGGTTTCCTTCGTTTCCTGGGAGTAACTCCGCAGGACGAATCTGAGTTGGTACATCATGTGTGAACGGAGCTTTTGCAATCCCTGCTGTGTAAGCCCCACTACGTGAAGAGCATACAGAGCAGAGGCCCATGCAGTTATTGTCCAAATCGACAGACGACGTCTGTCTGATAAGACTCGGTGGTTCCGAACTGCATGGGCTACTTCTGACATTGCTAGCTTACTGGCTGACAGCCGATGTTTGAGAGTCTTCATTTCATAGTCTTGATAAGAAAGAATGACCCCCAAGTATGGGACCTGATAGCGCAGCGATATCAGCCTGCCCGAAGGGAGTTCAACATACTTCTCTCCCTCGACCTGGCGAAAGAGCTTCTTCCTAATGGTCGAGGCTGAGCCCCCTTGCAGCTGTAGCAGAATTGCTGACTTGGACGGATTGACCTTGAACCCAAGCTCTACCAGCTGATCCAAAAGCAGGGCGCAGTACCCTAGTGCTGTCATGCGGCCGGCCTCAGAGTCGAAATGCGACTGGATCAGGCTATCATCTGCATACATTGTGAGGAGCTTCACTAGTTCTGCTGGGCTGATTTTCCCCGAGAGCTTCCTATAGAGGAGCCCTGATGCAAAGGCAAATAATGAGGGTGCTAGCTTACATCCCTGCTTGATTCCCCTGCGTGTGGCTATCTCAAAGCTCTGATCGCTGGCAGTCATCTTATACAAGGCTTTGATGTGGAGATGGCCTACCACCTCTATCAGAAGAGGATCTGCTTGTTCGGCTTCCAGGGCCTCTCTTAATCGCAGCCTGTTTACAGTGTCAAAAGCTTTGCTCATATCCACGCTCATGGTGAGACTACCTCTGAGCTTGAGCCCCTGTTGTCCCTTACCTGCAGCTCTTGTGGTGAGGGCCTGTCTGAACCTGGCCTGGTCCACATGTGTGAGGGCCTTGCAGATAGCCTCCTCTGTGCCCCTGCCTGGGACAAAGCCGAATTGAGAGACGCCGGTCATTGCTAGCTGGAGGGTAGGCTTAAGTCTCTTCCTCACGAGTCCGGCTAGGACCTTACCCTCAGGTGCTATCACCCCGATCGGACGGAGTGAGGTTGGTTTGTCTGGCTTCTTGGGAGGCTTTGGGAGCCAGGAGATCTGTGACGAGGTGACACTGTCCGAGAGCCTTCCTGCAGTGACTTCCCTATTGAGGGTGTCCGTGATTAGCCGGATTGCTTGGGGACCTAGGGAACGCCAGGCTACGACGGGAGGACTCTCTTTAGGAACCGCCTTGCCCAGCTTTATTGTGCCCAGCTGTTCTTGCACTTCTTGCTCAGTGATGTGCAGGCTGCCTTGTATCCCTGATAGCGGGAAGTCATCCCCTGCTCCAAACAGGTCTAGGGAGTATTCCTCTAGTTGTCTGCGTTCTTCCTTGGCAGTAAGGAAGCGACCCTCAGAATCACGAAGCTGAACTCTTTCTTGGGGCCTTCCCGACCTGAAGCGCTTGATTACCTTGTACAGGGAATGACTCCCGTCCTGCTTGGACTTAAGCTCTGCCTGCTGGAGTTGTTCATCTATTTCCTGCCGCCGCCGCTCCTGCTTGAGACGCTTTGCTTCTCTCGCCTGTCTGCTTTGCTGGGAAAACGAACACCAGCATCGGAGCACAATACGGACCTGCAGCTCGGGCAAGAACTCTGCTAAGACCTTGACTGCTAGTGGGAGTGAGCGCAGAGCAGAGCGCTCTTCCCAGATTCTGAGATCTGTTCTGTGTGCTGCTTCCTTTCTCTTGGGAAAGTGAGTCGCCAGAGCTGAGTTCATTGCTTGATGGAGACTTTGCCAGGTTTGGGGATGATCCTGAAGACGGAAGTCTACCTCCCTGGCAAATGCCTGTATTTTAGGGGAACGGTGTCTGTAGCAATCCTCCATTGCCTGTTGGTCATAGGGTTTTGAGGCTTGGGCGGAGTAACTCCTGCTGTGCCTCAGTTTTCCAAGAAGGGGGAAGTGCCTACTACCATCCGTCCAGGATGCAACTGGGAAGGTCCTTAGTGGCCGGCAAAACCTAGCAGGGCCCTGAGACTGTGCTAACCTGACAAACGAGAAGTCAATCTGTGAGACTGAGTTGCCTTGTACGTGTGTGGCTGGTCTATGCACTCCCCATGTGTTGGTTGCGACCAGCTGGTGCTCCGACAGTAGGGACTGGAGATCCTTTGATCCACGATGCCCGAGTCTGCAAGCCTGGATCGTGCATGGCCCTACGTGTTTGTTGTCGGTTTTGAGCGAGGAGTTAAAGTCTCCGAGCACAAGGAGAGTGTTGCGATTGGGAACAGCTCTGATGGACTTACTTAGGGCGTGAAGGGTCATCTTCCGGGTTTCCTTATTCTGAGCGACTGTCTCCCTAGAGCGCCAAACATATTGATAGCAACTGAAGACGTCCAGTGAGATGCCGTTACTCGGCACCCGGACCTGGAGAACTCTTCCTGGAACTACCTCGTTGTAGCGAAGATCCTGTGACTTGCACAGAGTGGAGTGCACCATTATGAGGACCCCGGCTCCCTTCTCCCCTGTAGAACCAGAGCTGATCACGTGCCAGCCTGACTTGCTGAATTGCCAAGAGCCTCTCCAGTGTGTTTCCTGAATTGCTACTAGCTTAATATCCTGAAATGCGGCACTTTGCAGTACGGAGAGTAACTCTTCCCAGACTGCTGTTGTGAGAGACCCTGCGTTCCAGGATAGATAGCTGAGATTCTTATGTTCTGTAAATTTCGAAGGCCGGGTCCTTCTGCCGGGATTGGTGCGCTTTACATGTGCCGGAGCAACTCCAAGCTCTGTTGACGACATCGTCCTTCCCTTGTAGACCGCACTACCTTCAAGCAGAGCTTTACGTGCTGCCCTTTGATAAGAGCTTTTACCCTTCCCTTTAGGAACGGGCTGATGCTTGGTCGAACCACTAGGCTGTTTCGCAGCACTCATGTTGAGTACGGCTCCTGTCGGCTTCGCAATACCGACAACCCTCACCTCTGGGAGATGTTAGAGAGCTGTAAATCTAATACTCCCTCCCGGACTTGGGACCGGGACTGCTCAGGCGCTGAAGCCGAGAGGCTTACCACAACAAACAACAACAACAACAGCAACTGCTTCAACTACAACAACACTACCACTACCACACCACAACCACCGCTACGACTACTACTGCTACTACTACTTCTACTACTACTACCACTACTACCACTACCACTACCACAACCACCGCTACGACTACTACTACTACTACTACTACTACTACTACTACTACTACTACTACTACTACGACTACTACGACTACTACTACTACTACGACTACTACTACTACTACTACTACTACTACTACTACTACTACTACTACTACTACTACTACTACTACTACTACTACTACTACTACTACTACTACTTCTTGTGCGTGCGTGCGTGTGCGTGTGCGTGTGCGTGTGCGTGTGCGTGTGCGTGTGCGTGTGCGTGTGCGTGTGCGTGTGCGTGTGCGTGTGCGTGTGTGTGTGTGTGTGTGTGTGTGTGTGTGGTTGCGTGTATGTCTGTATGTATGTGTGCATGTTTATCCTTTTATAGTATATACATGGATGAATCAATAAATACACTTATATACATATTTATATATATATATATATGTTTATTTATTTATTTATATATATATACATATGCATGTGTGTAGGAAGAGGGGTGGAGACATAGGGATAAAGATATAGATATTGATATTGGTATGGACATAGATATACATACAGATACATATAAAGATACGCATATACATGCGTTTGTGCGCATGTACACATGTGTGAAAACCAGGTTTTTTGTCTACCTACATTACTTAGAAATTTCTCTAAAAGTAGAACACCTAGCAAACCCCGTGTCTGCGGCGGAAGGAGCACCAGCTGGAGAACGTTGAGATGATGCTCAGCTCGGCTATGCTCCATGTGAAGGCAGGGTTTGGGGGTTTCAAGTTTAGGGTTGGGGTTGTTAAGTTTGGGTTTTAGGGTTGCAAGTTACGGGTTTAGGGTTCATTTAGGTTCCATGTAAGCCAGGCAGATTTCCAAGAGTGTGTTCTTGGGCTCCACCTGTGACAGTAGAGCAAATGAGCCACGCTCAACAAGTCTTTCCCCAAATGTAGCCAGACTCCTAAACCCTGAAGGCCTAAAGCCTAAGCCCCAATTCAGGCACCTTCGAGCCCTGACGCCACTTCTTGCCAGGCGGCCTTCGTAAGCGCTTTCGACCTGGTGCAGCAGTCCGAGGCAAGTGATTCTGAATCCAACGACCGAGCCTCTAAACCGTGCGATAGTTGGCAGAGCCCAGCGAGTCCAACCTTCCAGGTGGCACGTGTCAGCTACGCTCGGGCCGTTGCCGACTACGGGCAATGCAAGGTTCCGTACACGGAGGTGGGGAAACCGGGCATCAACCTGAGCCCTCAACGTGAACCCTAAGCCTTAAAAGATCCTCGATTCACTCTTCGAGGAAGTCTGTAGCCGGACACCTCAAAGGAACCCTTGCAGGTAGCCGCACCACCTGCATCAAGCGGGAAGCTCTTCTAAGAACCACCTGGGGAATCCACCGCAAACCCTAAATTCCCAGACATCAGAACGTAAGGATCCTCAGAACTTGGGCTCTTGACGTGCAGTAGGTGAAAAAGAGCCCTCCAACAAAAGAACAGCAAACAAAAGCAACGCAAAACAGAAGAATCACCGAAGGTCCCAAACGTCTGGCTTATACTTGTAATAGGCTTGTACTACAGGATTCTGAACCTGGGGCCGTCTTAGACTCTCGAGGTGACCAGTCGACGGGAGCTCTTCAACAACACTCGGGCCATGGCGGCTCTGGTCGAAGAATGGTGTTCAAGAAGCTTTCAGGGTTTAGGCTTTAGCGACGGAGTTTGGGTGTGGCTTGAGGTGGGGTCTTGACTTTGTCAATGGTGACTTGCTCTGAGTCATCACTTCGGGTTTAGTTGCCTCGTGCTAGCTTGCAGATGATCTTGCACAAAGTGACATAGCAGATGTTGCCAGGCGAGTGTTGAGCACTGCAGCACGCTAGTCCGTGACTCGTCATCTTGAGTGTCCTTGCGGGCACGAGCTGAAGTCGCGTCCGCCCTCAAAAGATCTCAAAAGCAAGTTACCTGCAGATTGTCCCGAGAGTGCATATGCCGTTTGAAACTTTGTCCTCTGTTGCAGCACAGCTTCACCTTCACCAGCCCCGACTGTCCCAAAAACCCTGATCTGCGAACTTTCGGCCTTGAAGTCGCAATTCCCAGGTGAGCAACCCAGCGCATCTCTTCGAGTTACAGGCACAGGCACGAGATGCTTTTGCGCTCCTCTCCAGGACCGGAGACTCGGGGAGTTAGTGGGCAGGGTGTGCGGCTTGAGGGTCTGCACCGTGAGAAAACCTCCAGCCTGGACTACCTGCTGGTTCAGGTTGAAAGTCCAAAATCCAGACATGATATGCTTTACACTTTGCAGAAGATCCTTCACTTTGCCGAGATTTCCTCGAAGTCGGGGATTCGTCGGGAGGTGTAACCCATCTTGCCAGAAGGCCCCTGTACTTCTTCGCGCAGAGACTCCCGACCCTCAGTCCCCAAAATCTTTCTCCCGAAACCCAAAACCCTCAACCCTCTATCCAAATCTGGAAAGCCAAAGCCAGAGCAGCATCGCTCTCCAGCCACCGACGAGTAACCCGCGGAAATTTCGAAAGCATGGATTTGCAAACTTGGAGACAAATCAGAAAGCAAAAAGGCGAATCTCGCATCTCATCCTACTGTAGAGACATTTCAGCAGTCACAGTAGCCAGGGCCTTGGTTCACGTTGCCACGCCATGTTTTGCTGATTCCACTTTCGATGGTTTCCCATTCTGCTTTGATGTTCGCGGTCCGTCCTCAAATGCTGTACCCACACCCAGGCACCGATTGGCAGATTTCGATTGGCAGATTTCCTACATTAGCGTTCTCCCAGATGAAGCCATCGTTTAGGGAATGTTGCTCAGGGTTTAGGATGTAGGTTTTCAGTCTGTGCAAAAAGGTTTTCGGGAACTCGCCCTCTGAAACAGAAACACACTGATGCACGTGAGGATTCTCGCAGAGAGCCGGTTGCTCCGCCGCTTTGTTGAGAAGGCGTGGCGGGGTTGCAACAGCCGGGAGGCCGATCAGTTGCCAATCCTAACTCTATAAATGATCCTACCAAGTTCGTTCATAGCATCACAGACCTTGTAATTTCCACCTATCTTTACATGAGCCTACTATAGTGTATTGTGATATGTTCATATCATTATGCGTTGCCGTAAAGCAAAAGCTGTCACTTGTCGCAGTCGCAGGCAGGCCGCGGGGTTGTGGGCTCTACACAGGCGGAACACCCTCCCAATACCTTGAACCCTCCCTATGCCCTGGCAGGCTGTGATCGCCATCCAGCCACACCAGATGATCAATGCCTCAGCCACAAAGGGCGAGGCCAGGGCATGTTGAGGTGAGGTTTACCACTCACTTGTGACCCCCCAAAACCCGCCTTACTGTTGACCCCAACACTGCTCGCTGGCGACCCTGTATCTTGCTGTGCCGATCAGCATCATCATCATCATCATCAGCAGCAGTGTCACCACAGTCATCACCATCGTCATCCTCGTTCTCACCCTTTGCATCATCGTCAGCATCATCATGAGTGCCGCAACCATCATCATCACCACGACCATCATCATCATCATCATCATCGCCATCGTCATCGGCACGCCGCCATCACCATCGTCATCATCGTGGGCGGTAGTAAGACTACGAAGATTTCAGAGTCCAGCTAGGACATTGGACTGCATCTTTCATATTGCTGCATACCATGTACTTTGTATTCGTGATCTTGCGGTTAGCTTTGAGGAATTAGACTGTGTTTTTGCTGGCTTCGAGCAGTCAGGCATTCCCTCTCGACTTGTTCATTGATGTCCGTAGCTGCGCGTAAACTTTGGGGCGCAGCGCGTGACGACGTGACGACGTGAGTTTTGCCGCGACGACGTGAAGCGAGTGACGACCTTAACGGCGTCAGCGGCGTCAACGGCGTCAGCGGCGTCAACGGTGTCAGCGGCGTCGACGACGTCCACGGCGTCAGCGGCGTCGACGACGTTGACGGCGTCAACGGCGTCAACAGCGTCAGCGGTGTCAACGGCGTCAACGGCGTCGACGTCGTCAGCGGTGTCAACGGCGTCAACGGCGTCGACGTCGTCAGCGGCGGGTATACAGTGCTGGTAATGTGGAGAGTATTCACATTGTTTATATCTCAAGACAGTAACAGTACCACAAAACAACATGACCCTGCCCAGACTGTAAATTTAAACCTACATCCAGGTCCCGTGATGGTGGCTGACTGTGAGCTCGATGGGACGCTTTTTGTTCACACTGACGTTGTTTCCGTAATTTGTGGCCAGCAACGACAAATGTAGACAAATTGGTATTGGTCTGGTTCGTCCACATATCATCAAGTCATATGTCGACACGTTGGGTTATTCTAGCATATCACACCAAATGAGCTCGGCAAATCCTGCGTGCGCCCCTGTGACATCGACATCTCCACCTACGCCAGCTTGGCTGCCACTTGGAAAGCATCACCAGACAGGGCTCTGGCTTTCGAGATGTCGATGTCACAGGGGCGCACGCAGGATTTGCCGAGCTCATTTGGTGTGATATGCTAGAATAACCTAACGTGTCGACATATGACTTGATGATATGTGGACGAAACAGACCAAACCAATTTGTCTACATTTGTCGTTGCTGGCCACAAATTACGGAAACAACGTCAGTGTGAAGTCCAAAGCATTCCAAAGCCCTAACCCCTAACCCTTTACACGAGACAAACTGAGGCACGTGCCTTGGACAACGTGACTTCTTGAACGTGGGCTGTTCTGTACAAAATACAAGACTTGGAAACTATATATCAACAAGCTTGAATATAGAAATCCAGCTACTTATCTTTTAGTTGACAATCATTCCAAGTATGTCTTTATGTAGTAGCAACCTATAGCGCTGCACGCCACACAATATAAAGCTACGTGAGATTCCAGCGCCGCGCGCGCGACGACGTACCTGCTTGAGCTTCAGCGCGGCGACACATCGACAATAAAAAAACCCGTGACGATCTGACAAGGCGAGTTCCTGCAGCCCAGCGCGCGACGACGTGACGATGTGGGGTTTGACGTGACGACGTGAAGCGCGTAACGACGTTAACGGCGTCAACGGCGTCGACGACGTTGACGACGTCAACGTCGTCAGCGGCGTCAACGGCGTCGACGACGTTGACGACGTTAACGGCGTCAACGGCGTCAAAGGCGTCAGCGGCATCAACGGCATTGACGACGTTAACGTCGTCAGCGGCGTCAACGGCGTCGACGACGTTGACGACGTGAACGGCGTCAGCGGCGTCAACGTCGTCAACGTCGTCAGCATATTGTTGGATTCACAGCGTCAACGGCGTCAACAGCGTCAGCCAAGATTAAGTATCGGCTATGGACATCACTGGTCTTGTTTATCCTCATCACTGAGAGTCGTTAAGCATTGACGTTACGATGTATCTTCAAAGAACTGGTACACTTCTGCTTGGTGACCAAGAACGAATCCATGGGCCGGCAGCCGAGTCAAAGTAATCCTTTGGGATTCAGATTACGTGTTGTTGTGCAATTAGTTTCTATGTTCATTGTTCGTTGATCCACGACGAAGCGATTTTTGCTACGGTGTCCCCGACACTATTAAAAAAAACTCTTCGCTCATCAAGCTTCTGCTTGAACTCGTGGACAAGCTCTCGGCCAGAGATGTTGCTATGTGGTACGATGTCTCTTCAATGGTATGGAGCGATTGCTTCAGTCCATCAAACGGTCACACGATGATGTGTCTTCAGCGATTTAGTGTAAGAGGCATCCAAAATGCTTCGTGGCTAGCGAAAGAGGTGTTAATTTCGCTGGAAGAGATATGAGAACCTCTAATTTTCTCGAATGATGTGGGAGTCGCTTTTGTCTAAGTCTCAACTTGCGAGATCGAAATAGCTTGACTGCTCGATCCGGAGCTGCTGAACCCTAAGCCGTAAACCTTGAAACTCTAGGCTCCTAAACCCCGGGTATCACAAGTAAGGCGGACTGGCTTTTGGTTCACAAGTTAGCTGGGGGCCAGGAAGTGGGTTTGACAGGCTAGATGGCTGTACTGTCCTTGTCGGCGTGGCAAAGCGATGAAATGTCGGTTGGCGACATTTTCTACATTCTGCGACCCTAGACCCTCCACCCTACATGCGTGTAACGTCGTTATTGCCATGAAGGGTGGGGAGCAGTGTGTTCATCACAGGATCTGCCCAACTGCAAACTACAGAAAGGTCTTGAGATCTATAGGTCTCATCCCGACCAAGACCCCTGGGAGCATTGATGTAGAACCTCCGCAGTCCAAACACTAAATCCTAATCCCGAAGCCCATAAGCCCTTCGAGTATGCTGCTATTGGATTCTTCTCAAAGACACCTCGAAGGGGTTCACCGAATCTAGCCAGCGCTGGAAGTCCGAGAAGCAACCAGAGAAAACAGCAAACAATCCCTTGACGACCCGAAGTTCCGAAAGCTTGCTTCAGGATACATCGCTTTGCCGTCGGTACCTGTCACCAGACTCCATGATGCTCGTGCAGAAGCTCCTCCAAGACTCTGCCACGAAGACTTTCTTGTCGGGTGTTCTGAAATACTTCTTCTCTAAATGCTCTAAACGCCACATGTGTATAGGGCCTCTTAAGCCAAGAATGACCAGCATCAACCAAAGGCCAGCACACATTTCAGGTCTCTCTCCTCGCAGATTGAGCGAACCAGAGATTTGCTGAATTGGCTGCAAATGATTGCGCGGAACAGCAATCCGACAGCTGCCCACTCCGCACAAGGCGGGAAACAAGCTCGGGGAAGGGTATATGGTAGAGGCTTCAACTCCCGCGTGATTTTATCTTGTGTGCTGTAGCGGCACGCACAGTGAGTGCAGAATCTTGCCCGTTGCGTTCTGTCACCGTATGTTATGTACCGTGTACTGTGGTGTATGACAGTGTGTGGGCGGTTCCACCCAAAACCCGAAACAGCAAGCCTGTGCCTCAGGGCCCGAGGCGAAGGAGATGCTTGCGCAAGCCTGGGCCAGCATCTTGTCAAAGACGAGATGGTGTTGACTTTGAGATTCAGGGTTTAGAGGCTCGGGAACACGGCTTCCGAGAGACCTGATCGGCGACTCCAATCTCCACCTCAGCACTTTCTGCGAGCCTGCGGGATCGCAGGCATCGTGGGGGAATTCACCACGGTTCTGCAGAGCTTCGAGCTGCCACGCAAGGACTGAGTCTTTTCGGAGTTTGTGCTGAGACGCCACGTGGTTTGGGACAGCAGCCCCCATTTGTTGCACACCTACAATGAAACGGATCCGAGGATTTTTTTGGTTTGCATTTGGAGCTCCGATTTTGGAAACTTCCATCTCGAAGCGTAAGCCATGGTGCTCCCAACTCACATAACCCAAATCGCATAACGCAGTCGCCAGGACACTTCCCACCAGCTCCTTGTTGCTTGGCCTCTGGAAAGTATGCCATTGCATTGCACAGACTCTCGTGTTTAGCCAAATGAGGGTTGTTCAACAGTGTTAGCCCCTCTTGAGGCCCCCATTGTAGTGTTCGTTATGATGAAGGTTACCCAAAAGGGTGCATAGTTTAACAGAGCGTACAAATAACTTTAACGAAGCTGTCGAAAGTTTCAACAGCCAGAGAGGTTCTGCACCGCAAGCTGCTGAAGCAAAACCTCCCAGAGCTCTGTCCTGTTCCTTCCAGCCACTTGGCGGCTTTAGGTGCATCTTGGTATTTGTTTTAAAAGTCGGTGTGCCCAGACAGCACATAATTGAAAAGTTGCATAACTTATGAATAAGTAAGTGGATACATATGTTTGTACATACACACACATATACATACATATATATGGTCACGCGCTCCGCGGCCCCCCCTCCCCCCCTCCATGGTCTATGGTCCAGGATGCCCCCCCTCCTCTGGGCTGGAGTGTGGGTTCCCTCTTCCCCCTGTGGGGTGGTTGTGGGGGTTTTGGGGTTTTGGGTCAAGCTTAGGCTTTTAGGTTTTGGGTTGTCGGTTAAAAGGTATAATGCTTCGAGTCGACAAAGGCTTAGGGAGGGTTTGGGGTGTAGGTTCGCTAGGGTTGACAGTTTATGTCCTGGTTTAGGCTTAGAGCTTGCATTTAGGCGGGGTTTAGGGTTGGTTGTAGGGTTTGAAGTTTATGTTCAGGTTAAGGTTATCAAAACAGGAGCAGGCACTACTGCGCTATATACGTTATAGGATTTATGGCTTGCGTAGGGCTTGCGTACGATGCTGGCCTTGTCGCCTGGCCGTCCCTCCAGCTGCAGCTCCCACGGCCCCCACCCCTCTCCGCACACGCCAGCCCCCCCCCCCCCACCCCGTACCAGACCATACCATTGGGGGGGCTGGGAAGGCCCTAAGCAAGAATTTTGCGCGTCGTGTGCAAGCGGAGTCGGCGTTCAGCGCGCAAACAGTCGAAAAACACCAAAAATTCGAAAAAGCACGAAAAACGCGAACCTGTTACTACACTATTGCTTTTACAAATACTATTACTATTAATAGTACTATTGCCATTACTATTACTATTATTTTCATTATTTACTAATACTAGTACTACTACTACTACTACTACTACTACTACTACTACTACTACTACTACTACTATTACTATTACTATGACTATGATTATGACTATTACTACTACTACTACGACTACTACTACTACTACTACCACTACTACTACTACTACCACTACCACTACTACTACTACTACTACTACTACTACGACTACGACTACGACTACGACTACGACTACGACTACGACGACTACTACTACTACTACTACTACTACGACTACGACTACGACTACTACTACTACTACTACTACTATTACTACTATTACTACTATTACTACGTTTACTATTACCATTACCATTGCTATTTCTGTTACTAACTCTACTACGACTACTACTACTACTACTACTACTACTACTACTACTACTACTACTACTACTATTGCTACAATTGCTACTATTATTATTACTAGTACTGTTTCTGTTACTGTTACTATTACTATCACTAATGCTATTGCTACTACTATTAATATTCCTTTTGCTACTCCTGTTACCATTACCATTACTATTACTATTTCTTTACTACTATTACTCGTACTGGTACTAGTACTAGTACCTACTACTACTGCTACTACTACTACTACTACTACCACTACTACTACTACTACAACTACTACTACGACTACGACTACGACTACGACTACGACTACTACTACTACTACTACTACTACTACTACTACTACTACTACTACTAGAAGCATTACTATGACCAAAGCTGTTAGTATAACCATTGCAAGGACGATTACTATTTCCAGTTTTACTGTTGTTAATAATATTAGTAGTGCTATTGCTAATTGTTACTGCTGTTACTGTAACTGTTGTGTTGATGCTTTCTTGCGCTCTTTGCGTTGTTCATGTTTTAGCGGTTTTAGTATTATTCGTGTTTTTCGTGTTGTTCGCATTTTCGCGTTTTTCGCGTCCACATCTGCCCCTCCGCTTAGCTGAGACGCGCAAAGCGTTTCCACAGGGAACGCCAGACGCCTGACCATATATACACACATAGACACATATACATGCTTAAGTAATGACATGAGACAAAGATCGACTCACGGTTGAGAAGGTCAGGGTAGAAAGCCACGAAAATAGACAACGTCTGTGTGGACTGCGAGCGATTACCCCACAAAGAAACTACTGCGTGGCTTTCTGTAAATAGCAAAGAGGGCTTGACTCAGTGCCGCCCCTTCATCTGTACCTTGACCCCCGGTGCGGGCGGTCAGGCAGCAGTAGCCGACAGCTCCCATCTGACACGCGTAGGTTCGCAGTTCCCAGCTGAGGGGAGACTGGCCCCCTCTGGCTTTCCCTGGATGCAGGAAGTTTTCTGCACTAGCAGCTAGTGACGGGCGGGCACGCTTTGTTTTCATCCTGCCCTTGCCGCTGGCCATCCCAGAAGCGGATAGGCTATGCGAAGATCGAATAATGCATGAAGCTTGCTAGACAAGTGCCTGTAATGCCTTGAGCAACACGATGACTTGCAGTGGTCCAGACATGTACATAGTGCAGAGCCGACCCTACTCGAACTTCTATTCACTGGGGCCCCTTTCAGTTTCTGGAACTCCACAAATCTGCCCACCAAGTGTCAAAAAATCGAAATCAATCAGCTTTTCACACCGACTCCGCACCTAAGAACCTCGCCTGGCTGTGTCCGAGTTGCGAGAGCGTATACCCTATACCTTTCTTCAGGTTGCATCTCCGCCCTGTTGCAGAAGTTCCCGAGCACCTCCACGACTGCTCTGGTGGCTTGGCTAGTCGTCGACATCACAGGGCTGTTTTCGGTGTTGGGCCTGGGGTTGAAAATGTCGGATTTTGCGTTTGATGTAAGGGGGTCTCATACTGAGCCCACTCTGAATCACTTCTACCCAAGATAATCCGCGCAAAACGCTGAGCCTAATGAGAGGTTGTGTGAAACAGTGTTACTAGGCTAGGGTCCTGTAGCACCACAGTGATCCGAAATCGGAGCAGTGTGAACGAGGGGAAGGGGATGGGTTCCCCTCCCAAGAGTTTCCAACACTCAGCCGTGATCGGCTGAAGGTCCAACTGGCCCAATTAGCAAAGTAGCCCACAAAGCCTGCGCCGGCAGCTTTGACAATACTTCAAAACCGTATACTTTTTACAAGCCCTGAACTCACGTCCGCAGGTGGCCTGGGACCGCGTCCAGCTTCCTGGAGGTGGAGAGCTGCTGACGGTGCTTCAGCACCCCGAGGTGGCGAAGCCCTAAGCATCCCGAAACCAGAAATCTAAACCCTACCTCCACGTGCGTTTCCCCGTGGCCACTTGCTGAAGCTGGGTTGCGTAGTCTGATGCGTCTTGTGCTCAGTACTTATAGCATCCAATGATGAGTCTCCGTCTTCTGTGCTTCAAACCGCGAGTTATTTGCATAGAGATATCCCGCCCAATATGATAAACTGAACTACAAGCATATCTGACTCTTTTCGTCGTGATGTCGTCACCTGACAGGGCCTGCTGCTCGACTCTGGCTCTCTCTCGGGCTGGGAGATCGATGTGCGGAAGCCCATCCCTGTTGACCTCAAGGACAAATTCCGTTTGGAGTGCTTGGCAATGCGATGCTTGAAAAAATATACTGCTTACTGGTTGTAGTTGCATTGTCGTTTCCGTCACATCACTGACTTGTAGCCTGTCGCAGCACTGCTAATGTTTGTTTTTTGAGACATTCTTGTGCTTCCTGCCTCTGAACCTCGTCTCAACTTTGTTCCCCAAATTATGAGCAGCCCAGACGAAGGGCCTCAAGCATGGGGTGACCGTTCTAAAATATCGCTTTAATTGCAGACAGGGGAGGATCACTTGGCATGAACTTCCTTAACTCCTGGCTTTCGTCCGGGGGGCCAACCGTTGGGCAAGAGAGGCGACCTATAAAGAAAGGAAAGCGGGAGAGACACAGAGAAAGAGTGTCGGTGTATTTCCTGTGGCTCGGTAGTTCACTTGCATGTCATCGTAAGACGTATCGGATGTCTAACGACCATATCTTCAATGGTTTAGGAAAGCGGCGCGCTCCATCCCCTCCAACCACAGCTCCCAGTTTCAATGGAGCTTTCTGAGATCAGGCGGGAGGAAAGTTCCTCGGTTGGAGTCACAAGTTTTTTTCTAGGGATGGATAGAGAATCTGATTGTTGGGAATCCCACGTCGTAAAACATAGGCAACCCTACTGTACCTGGGCTATTTTAGAGGAGTTTGATCCTTATCCCGAGTTCTGGAAGCCATGTTGGTGAAGCCACTTAAGTGTTTGACTCTACAATGCTTACATATCCTGAGTGCCAACAAGAGCTCAGTCGCAGCCCATGATTGGGTTCACAATGGATGACATGTTCCCTCTATTGGCACTCTCCACTTTAGTTCTTCCACTAGCTACTCACTGGTTTGTATTTTTCTACCTACCGAATGTATACCCATGGCACCAGATGGAGGACGTGAATGGCGGCCTGCCAAACCAAGTCCTGGGCTGTAAGCTCGAGAAGGGAGCAGCCTCCTACGAGGCTGGCATGAGATTTGTGGTTGTAGGTTAAGGGTCAAGGCTTGATGGTTTTTGGTTCAGGGCTTATCTGGAATGGGTGTGGTGACAGACAATGACAGATGACACACACCAGGAAGTTGTTGGGGCGCGACCAAGATAGCACGATACTTGCGGCACTCCCCCAGAACGGGCTCCCCAGTTCGGAAGCAATCCACTTTAGATTGTCGGTTCGATCTCTGCTCGGTGGCTTTAGGGCGTAAGGGTTACTGGCTTGAAGAGTGTTTATGGGTGTAGGGTGCGAGGGGTTAAGGGTTTTGAATGCGAATGGCTGGCATCAATTATTTCATCCTGCCTTGTTACTCATACTTTCAAATTAGATTCTGCCCGATCCCGTTCAAGTCGTAGCTGTCTTGTGTGACATTGCTTTGAATCCTGTTGAAGTATGTTTCAAGCGGCTTTATAGTATCCTCCTGTAAGTCCGGCAGAAATATGTGTGTGTTGCTTGTGTTGCCGACTTCGTGCCCGCGCATGTCGTACAAGTCCCACTTTATACTGCGCTCGCTCATAGGTAGCCCTTATCGAGCTGCAGTAGCTTGTTCTTAATCCCCCGGCTGCTTGTGCTCAGCAAGCTGCTTTTGGTGTGTCAATCGCAAATCTGGGTCTTCAGCTTCAGGGGAGAATCTTGAAAGCTTGGGCCAGCGTGATGAGTTTGGGACGTGCGCCCCAAGCCCAAACTCCCGAAACTCTGGTGGGTGCCCTACACCCCAAATTCCTGAAGCATGCGCAGCTCTCGCAAGGTCGTCCTGCCGTCAGACCCTGCCGTCAAGAAATTGCCGGATCGTGCGTTTTGCTTCTGCGCGGCCTCCATCAGCGCGGATGGCACCGTCAGCAAGAAATGCCGACACAAGATGGAGGTGATCAAGCCATAAGACATGACTTCTTAGCTATGCCATGTGTTGCGCGGTTCTTCGATGTGATGCCCATGAGTATTCGATTTCCGATACAAAACTTGCTGCAGGTCTGCTCCCAGGGCTCCGATACACCGTTGGACTTGTGGTCGCCCCTGCGCAAGGCTTGCCTACTTTGTTGCGTCAGGTTTAGGGGGAGTTTAGGGCCGAGGGTGTTATCATTCTCCGAGAGGCCATTTTCCTGCCCGAGCTTCACAAGTGGAACAAGCGTCAACAAGCCCTCCAAGCAGAGAGTCTCGACCAGCCAAGGCTAAATTTGTTTTTGTGCTCTTATTATGTACTAACTGCCAGTAAGATCAGGTATAACACAAATGTTGATTTTAATTATGGTTCTTATCACCATCATTATTGTTGTTATTGTTATTATGATGATTACCACAATGCAAACTTTGAATCGCAACGGCCGCCTTGGTCATAAGTAGGCCGGGGTAGCACTTTCCGGAGGTTGGTGAAGGCCCTAAAGCTGCCTGTGACTTGCGTCTCCCCATGATATAACATTTCCCAGTACTGTTACCATCAGCATCGCTACTGTTGATTCAAAAAGTACTTTTATTTGCTATTACCATGGTTGATACAATATCTACTTTGCGTCTGTCTGTTTTTCGTCTTAGTATTACTAATTATTAACATTAGTATAAGTGCTATTCTCAGTGTTACGGTTGTAGTTCGTGTAATGTTTTGATGTTGTTGCTATCATTGCTTTTGGGTCGCTGTTTTTGGTATGGTCATGTTGTATCGTCATTGCTTTTATTATCATTTAACAACAGTAATCATATTAAACTACTGTTGTGTTAACTACCGGTCTTAGTGTTCTTGTTATTATCATGATGAATATTATTGTTATCTTTGTTGTTGTTTGTGTGATTAGGGGCATTGTTGTTCGTCGTCAAATATGTCTATTATCGTTATTATTAGTAGCATTGAGATTATTACTAGTAATTCTTCTAGAGTAGTAGTAGTAGTAGTAGTAGTAGTAGTAGTAGTAGTAGTAGTAGTAGTAGTAGTAGTAGTAGCAGCAGTATCCATCCATCCCTCACACTGGGGACAGTTCGAATGTCGCATAGTGAGCTAACAAACCACCCCTTTCGGGTAGTTGGATCCTGTGGTGGGATCACCAGGAGGCCAACTGGCCGTCCCTGAAACCCTTTCCCATTCACTACGCCATCTTCTTTATAGCTAGTCTGCCATCACTCGAAAGGCACGTCCTGGCAGGTAGTAGAGCCAGACGATATACGCTTGGGAGGCATCAACCTCTTTTGCAACGCACTTGGCTGTGGTCCTCACTTCAGTCCCCTCCGTGGGCGTACTGGCACAGGGGCGAGTGGCATCTGTTGTGATGGCCCGACTTCTTCCGCGTTTGGATAAATTTGCCCATTGCCTGAAGTCCTGACCGCGGTGCCGACAGATTAGTAGACCATCAGGGCCATGCTCATTTCGATCAAAAGACAGCTGATCTTTCCGGTGGGCCTTTTTGGAATGCGCCTTGGACTCATGGGCTCGCAGAAGGCGGAAAGATGGGAAGGTACGAGAGCAGAGTTGCCAGTGATGCATGTCCACATCTTCTGTTGGCTGACTACTGTGCTGCACTGCAGTTCCGATGTGCCGCGGCTGCAGTTCGGCCACGGTGCTGCGCGCGCTCTTCCGGTGTAGTTCCATGATGGGGCGGTCGGTAGTTTCCTGCCTCAATCTGTCAGTGCGCGAAGTCGATTGAGGAAGTGCTCGGTGGTTTCCTTTCCAAGGTGCGCACATGAATCGAGATGGCACGTAGGTGTATGGTGGCTACGTGTTGCATGTGTTGGACATCCCGAAAGGGATGGCTCATATGGCCCCGATGCAGCCACACCGTAGAGGCTCGTTGGGAGGACGGTAGCCGCCCACAGTTTCTTTCGTGCACCGGCAGATACCTTGAGCACAGAGTCTTCCGGAGCCTTCGCCAGGCCTTGCCCGGTTCGTCCAGTCGTAGCCTGCGCCGGGGCATAATAGGAGATTTCAACATCGAAATAAACATGACTATCCTTGATAGGGAATTCAAAAACTCGGCCAGCTGGCGTGCGCACTCTGAGCATGGGTTGATTTTGCGCGTTTTAACCTGGTGCTGCTTGGGCCATCTTTTGACAAAGTTTCCCATGTACCTGAGTAGACAAGCCGACTTTTTCTCGATGGTCATCATGCCGTTGGAGACCAGCATGTCAAGCACCACGCCGAATCGAGTGAGCATTTTCTCCAGGCCTGCATGCATGGTGGCCGCATCGCACATGTGGTATTCATCGGCAAAGACTGTGACATGTTCACTCAGCCATTTGGTGCCTACCTGTGACTCCATTTGTTCATGCAGGTAGCCTGTCAGGAAGGCCCACAGCAGCAGAGCGGTTTTGGAGCTTAGGCGCAGGCCTCCTAAGGCGGTCAGGTGTGTCGTACCAGTTAGCCACCCAGTTTCGTAGATGGGTGGGCACCTCGCAGCCTGCAGGGCTTACTGTATACTAGCCCAATTTGCGAGATCAAAAGCACTCGAAAGATCAAGAGATAATTGGCACCCAGTGTATGCCTTGCTGCCTCTCCTAGGGAGCCCCTCATATGCGTCCATGACGGAGTGCTGCCTTCCGGTGCATCGTATCTGCACATCTTTACAGTGTGCGTGTGCTCGCAAGATAGCAATGCCAGTGTGACTTTCTTGCGAAAACGCATACTGCGGAATTTTGCGAAGGAAGTCCTGCTCAAACGGACTCAGGCGTTGCTGTAAGACGTGGGACACTGGTCAGTCCTGTCGGTTTGAGGTCCTTTGGGGTTGTAACCGTCAATATCAGTTTTGGGACGAGGACTAGCCATGCGTCACGCCCGGCCTGTGGAACCGCGCCGCTGGCTCTGATCATGCGGCCCGGGTAGGGGTCACTACATCAGCACATCCGCTCCACATTGCTGTGGCAGCCAACATCCTGCGTGTTGTGCACACTGAGCTGTGCTTGCGCTTGCTGGATTTCTTCGTAAGTGACATCAATGTGTATGCGAGGTCCGTTGTCTCCTGTCGGTGGCGCAGGCTGTGTGGACGTGATTGACTAGGGACTTCGTCCAGACCTTGCTGCACGCTCTGCCGAAAATGCTGCATTCTAGGATCCTGGCTCCGCTTGCAGCTTCTTACAAGTCCCCAGTGATCATATGCCTTAGCTCGGCGAGTTGAGGCTCCGGAACGAGCCGCAGGGATACTGCCTACCAGTGGAGCCCTGCCTCCTGGTCAAAAAAGAGGATTGCTGCGCCCGTTCACGTCACTGGCTAGCTTGTGATGCCAGGAGTTGAGGTGCAGCAGGTGGTTTTGGTTGTGGCAGTCTGTTCCGGGGTCCCGATAGGCACAGTGCTCCACTGTTCCTTGTAGGGCTAGCACGCGGCCGGGACAAAGGGGCTCCGTCTCATCAACCTGCTGCCTCCACCGGTCCCGGGCGAGTCGCCCACCCGCCTCTCCACACCAAGCCGCTTTCTTAGTTGGGGTGCTTCGTTCCCTCGGCATGCCACGAGATGCTGTGACTTCTTGAGCAAAAACTGCTTCAGGGTCAAAGGAATGGCGGCTACACAGGCTCCAAACCTTCAATAGGGCTATGCTCACCGTAGAAGTGCACTGCTCTTGGCTGTCGAATATTCGGGGCACCCTGTTCCGGGAGATCACCGGCTACGGTGGTGGCAACTAGCTGTTGAAAAATGGCTGAGGCAAAGCCAGGAGAAGAAGGGTTGTTACGGCAGCAATGGGTAGACTGCCGTCCATCCTGCGGCCGACAGCCATGTTTAGTTGCTGGTCCACGGCCTTCTAGTGCACCCGTACTGTTCGCAGAAGGGGCCCCACCTGTTCACGACAGACATTCTCAGTGGAGCCAAGGGGCTTAGTAATGGTTGTAGTAGGAGGAGGGGTCGTATTGTTATAAGAACGATTATTTCGCATACTAAAAGTAGTATCGATTAGTATCATTTTCGCTTTTGATAGCATTGTTATCATTTTTACTGTTGTTGTTGTCGTCGTTGTTGTTGATACTAATAGTGTTCGAAGCCTCTCGGCTCAGGAAAGGTCAGGCTAGTACAGTTGCCTTTTTCCTTTCTTGCCATGGCATTTGTCAGCGCCTGAGCAGTCCCGGTCCCAAGTCCGGGAGGGAGTATTAGATTTACAGCTCTCTAACATCTCCCAGAGGTGAGGGTTGTCGGTATTGCGAAGCCGACAGGAGCCGTACTCAACATGAGTGCTGCGAAACAGCCTAGTGGTTCGACCAAGCATCAGCCCGTTCCTAAAGGGAAGGGTAAACGCTCTTATCAAAGGGCAGCACGTAAAGCTCTGCTTGAAGGTAGTGCGGTCTACAAGGGAAGGACGATGTCGTCAACAGAGCTTGGAGTTGCTCCGGCACATGTAAAGCCCACCAATCCCGGCAGAAGGACTCGGCCTTCGAAATTTACAGAAGATAAGAATCTCAGCTATCTATCCTGGAACGCAGGATCTCTCACAACAGCAGTTTGGGAAGAGTTACTCTCCGTACTGCAAAGTGCCGCATTTCAGGATGTGAAGCTGGTAGCAATTCAGGAAACACACTGGAGGGGCTCTTGGCAATTCAGCAAGTCAGGCTGGCACGTGATCAGCTCTGGTTCCACAGGGGAGAAGGGAGCCGGGGTCCTCATAATGGTGCACTCCACGCTGTGCAAGTCACAGGATCTTCGCTACAACGAGGTTGTTCCAGGAAGAGTTCTCCAGGTCCGGATGCCGAGCAACGGCATCTCACTGGACGTCTTCAGCTGCTATCAATACGTTTGGCGCTCTAAGGAGACAGTCGCTCAGAATAAGGAAACCCGGAAGCAGACCCTTCACGCCCTAAGTAAGTCCATCCGAGCTGTTCCCAATCGCAACACTCTCCTTGTGCTAGGAGATTTTAACTCCTCGCTCAAAACCGACAACAAACACGTAGGGCCATGCACGATCCAGGCTTGCAGACTCGGGCATCGCGGATCTAAGGATCTCCAGACCCTACTGTCGGAGCACCAGCTAGTCGCAACCAACACTTGGGGAGTGCATAGACCAGCCACCCACGAACAAGGCAACTCTGTTTCACAGATTGACTTCTCGTTTGTCAGGATTGCACAGTCCCAAGGCCCCGCCAGGTTTTGCCGGCCACTAAGGACCTTCCCAGTGGCATCCTGGAGGGATGGTAGTAGGCATTTCCCCCTTCTTGGTAAACTGAGGCACAGCAGGAGATACTCCGCCCAAGCCTCAAAACCCTATGACCAGCAGGCAATGGAGGACTGCTACAGACACCGTTCCCCGAAAATACAGGCATTTGCCAGGGAGGTAGACTCCCTCCTTCAGGATCATCCCCAAACCTGGCAGAGTCTCCATCAAGCAATGAACTCAGCCCTCGCGACTCACTTTCCCAAGAGAAAGGAAGCAGCACAAAGATCAGATCTCAGCATCTGGGAAGAGCGCTCTGTGTTGCGCTCACTCCCACTAGCAGTCAAGGTCTTAGCAGAGTTCTTGCCCGAGCTGCAGGTCCGTATGGTGTTCCGATGCTGGTGCTCGTTCTCCCAGCAAAGTGCACAGGCGAGGGTAGCAAAGCGTCACAAGCAGGAGCGGCGGCGGCAGGAAATAGATGAACAACTCCAGCAGGCAGAGCTTAAGTCCAAGCAGGACGGGAGTCATTCCCTTTACAAGGTAATCAAGCGCTTCAGGTCGGGGAGGCCCCAGGAAAGAGTTCAGCTTCGTGATTCTGAGGGTCGCTTCCTTACTGCCAAGGAAGAAAGAAGACAATTAGAGGAATATTCCCTAGACCTGTTTGGAGCAGGGGATGACTTCCCGCTTTCAGGGATACAAGGCAGCCTGCACATCACTGAGCAAGAAGTGCAAGAACAGCTTGGCACAATAAAGCTGGGCAAGGCGGTTCCTAAAGAGAGTCCTCCCGTAGTAGCCTGGCGCTCCCTAGGTCCCCAAGCAATCCGGCTAATCTCGGACACCCTTAATAGGGAAGTCACTGCAGGAAGGCTCTCGGACAGTGTCACCTCGTCACAGATCTCCTGGCTCCCAAAGCCTCCCAAGAAGCCAGACAAACCAACCTCACTCCGTCCGATCGGGGTGATAGCACCTGAGGGTAAGGTCCTAGCCGGACTCGTGAGGAAGAGACTCAAGTCTACCCTCCAGCTAGCAATGACCGGCGTCTCTCAGTTCGGCTTTGTCCCAGGCAGGGGCACAGAGGAGGCTATCTGCAAGGCCCTCACACATGTGGACCAGGCCAGGTTCAGACAGGCCCTCACCACTAGGGCTGCAGGTAAGGGACAACAGGGGCTCAAGCTCAGAGGCAGTCTCACCATGAGCGTGGACATGAGCAAAGCTTTTGACACTGTAAACAGGCTGCGATTAAGAGAGGCCCTGGAAGCCGAACAAGCAGATCCTCTTCTGATAGAGGTGGTAGGCCATCTCCACATCAAAGCCTTGTACAAGATGACAGCCAGCGATCAGAGCTTTGAGATAGCCACACGCAGGGGAATCAAGCAGGGATGTAAGCTAGCACCCTCTTTATTCGCCTTTGCATCAGGGCTTCTCTTTAGGAAGCTCTCTGGGAAAATCAGCCCAGCAGAACTAGTGAAGCTCCTCACAATGTACGCTGACGATAGCTTGATCCAGTCGCATTTCGACTCTGAGGCCGGCCTCATGACAGCACTAGGGTACTGCGACCTGCTTCTGGATCAGCTGGTAGAGCTTGGGTTCAAGGTCAATCCGTCCAAGTCAGCAATTCTGCTACAGCTGCAAGGGGGCTCAGCCTCGACCATTAGGAAGAAACTCTTTCGCCAGGTCGAGGGAGAGAAGTATGTTGAACTTTCGGGCAGGCTGATATCGCTGCGCTATCAGGTCCCATACTTGGGGGTCATTCTTTCTTATCACGACTATGAAATGAAGACTCTCAAACATCGGCTGTCATCCAGTAAGCTTGCAATGTCAGAAGTAGCCCATGCAGTTCGGAACCACCGAGTCTTATCAGACAGACGTCGTCTGTCGATTTGGACAATAACTGCGTGGGCCTCTGCTCTGTATGCACTCCACGTGGTGGGGATGACACAGCAGGGATTGCAAAAGCTCCATTCACACATGATGTACCAACTCAGATTCGTCCTGCGGAGTTACTCCCAGGAAACGAAGGAATCAAACCAGGAGTTACTCCGGAGATTACGGATTCCTCACGTGAAGGAGCAGCTGCAAAAGAGAATGACCCAGTTTATAAAGAGACAGCAACACTCCGATCCCCAGCTTCTCCCACACTATAAGTTGCGTGCTGAGGCAGTTAGCCAGGCATTGGAAGGCCTCTCCACGGACTTCTCCTCGCACCATGTGGAGGATAGGCTTCTGACCTGCGGTGAATGTGGAGCATGTCTCTCTGGCACCGGAGCACTCCGTCGCCACCTGCAGAAGGCTCACCCAGATTCTCAGCAGTGCCTGAAAGGACCCAAATTTGATCCTATTTTGCATTCAATGCCAGGGTCAGCAACTTGCATCGCCTGTCGAGCAACATTCCGAACAGTGTTTTATCTGCGCAAACATGTCGAAGCATCTACCTGCCCTAGGGTAGAGCTTTTGCTTAGACAGCAGGAAGAGCTACCCTTAGAAGCACAGAACCGGATCTCACTCGTAGAAAGTCTACAGTCTGATGCCCAGGACAATCCAGAAGGCGCCGCTCGAAATCCGGCGTTCCATGATTACCTGATGGAACACTGCGCACTCTGTGGTCAGGTCCTCGTAGGCCAGAAAGGAGCCAAACAGCATTTAAACAAGCAGCATCCTGAGGTGATGGCCAAGCTGGAGAAAACTCTCCAACCAAGACTCAATCAATTCAAGGTCTTCTTCCACAAAGGAGATAGCTGTCGATACTGCAAACTTCGTGTGGATGCCCCGGGTAGACATGCTCAGCAGTGCGTTCCATTACTGCAGGTGCACGTACTGCAGGAGGTAGCGCGCCAGCAGCTCAGCAAGCAGCCCCGCGAATATACTCGAGCAAAGTCCACGGCATCGGCGAAGACAGTCACAAAGAAGCCTTCAGATTCAACGCCAGGAATTCCTCACCCCGTGTTTAGACTGGAAGGCTTTCTCCTGCTAGCCAATACTCGCAACCACTGCTATGCCAACTCAGGTCTGCAGTGTCTCCACTGGCTATCAGATCCTTCAGAGGCGACTTTTCAAGAGGCATCCCGGATCAGTCAGCTTGCGAGAATAACCCCTGAACACAGAGTCTTCTCGGAGCTCACCATGGGCTGGCTCTTTGACGGAGGCCAGCACGACTCTGCTGAGTTCCTGCAGCAAGTGTTTCGGAATCTCTCTGCATCAAGATTTGGACAGTGGGAAACTAGAGCCTCAGTACCGGAAGGCGTGATAGTGGACGAAGAAGGGGGCTCTCCCATTCATCTTGCCACGGCGATCAAGACCAACCTACAGGACATGCTAGTGGCATGGTCGTCTCAGGAGCGCTCATGTGCTCTCATAGAAGCTGCACAGCAGGTGTGCTTAGCCTTGCCGAGATTCGCAGGTGAAGCTAAGGATCACACTCGCATCACAATCCCACAGCAAGTCCAGATCCCTGTCTTCCTGGACCACACATCCCGAGTTTCGTTCTGTACCTACACAGTAGAGGCAGTGATCATTCACCTAGGAATGGAGTCCACTAGTGGCCATTACCGTGCAGCTGTACGCACAGCAGATGCCTGGTATGTTGGTGATGACTCCCACCCCCCTAGTCCCTGTACCCTCGAAGATCCCCTGCTTCAAAAAAATAGCTACGTCATCTTCCTAGCTCGCAGCGCCGTCTCTCATGAGCCCCAGGACGTAGCCAATCTCCCGAGTAATGTCTCTGCAAGAGCTCTTCCAGCGAGCATCGATGGATCAGAGCTCTGCCCCTAAACGGGGAGACGCAGGTCCGTCAGGTGGAGATTCTACCCTGAAGCGACAGCGTGGTGGAGGTACTCCCCAGCAACGAGGCAGAGGACAACAGCGAGGGGGCAAAAGCAGGGGACGAGGAAGCGGAGGCCGAGGGAATGGAGCCTCATGGCAGCCTCTTCCTGAGCCAGACGCCTTGCGGAGATGCTCCCTAAGGAGGAGACTCTCCCCAACAATCGGAGGAGTTTCTCCCCTTGCCATGTGTGTACAGCTGGTGGAGTTTCTCCCCAGGGGTTTTTTAAACAGTAGGAGAGCATCAGGTGGAGCTTCTCCCCTCGTCTTGGTGGAGTTTCTCCCCCAATGAGGGATGTACAGCTGGTGGAGGTTCTCCCCAGGGGTTTTTAACAGCAACCAAGCCGGTTAGCTTTCAAGCTAGTGCCGAAATCATAACGCTTGGCCTGGAGATCTTGGCAAGATTTGGCAAGACAGAGAACTGTACTCTGCACAACACAACGCAGAAAACCAGACTCAGCTGAGAACTTCGGCTTTCCCCGGCCTGAGCACCGTCTGACCCGATCTGGTTATAACGTAGGTTCAACTCCTCCAGCAAGGACATGCCCGCGAGGGCCTCCGCCAAAGCCTGGCCGGCCCCGACATGCGGTGGAGCACTTCACAGCTTGCAGCCCTGAGGGGCGGAGCGTGTGCAAGTGCAGCGCTGAGGCACGGCTTGCCGTGAAGAGTGACCGCGCAAGTAGTAAGCAGGGCACTAGGTCGATCCCTCGCAAAGCGTGGACGATAAGTTTCACCACAGACAGTCCTCCCCCGCTGCGTGTGAATGAATAATAGTGTTCGAAACGGTATTGTGACGATCATTATTGGTATCTGTACTGCTTTAAGTCGTAATTTCACCACCACTGCGGTTTCTAATCACTTGTTGTTTCTGTCGTCGTTTTCGTCGTCATCGTGATTGTCGTCGTCGCCGCTGTTTGTGCGTTTGTTGTTGTTGTTGTTGCTGTAGCTGTTGCTGTTGTTGTTGTTGGTGGTGGTGGTGATGGTGCTGTTGCTGTCGTCGTTGTTGTGGTTGTTGGAGACACAGCTGCAGGCTGTTTTGTGTAGCCATGCGAAGGAAGTTCTGCGGTGATGGGCGTGTGGATCCTTGGGAAGCCTGCGACGATGGCAACCAAGTCAGTGGCGACGGTTGCAGCTCAGACTGTCGAAGCATTGACCCGGGCTTCACCTGCGAAGAGGCCTTCGTCCGGGGAGCGGGAGGTGGCCATAGGCGCTTGCCTGTAGAGCCTTAACAGATAAATGCCTGTAGACGGGAAGTCGGGGGCCACGTGGCACGTCCAGGCTTTAGATTCGGAGGCCAAAGAATTCACGGTTCTGTTCTCCAGGCGAAGCCCTGCACCACGTCTTGCGGCGATGGTATCCGGGCAGGCCAAGAGGGCTGTGACGATGGAAACCTAGAGTCTGGCGACGGCTGCTCTTCCGACTGCCTCGTGGAGGTGTTGCTTGGCACTGCTTAAAACCAGGCCGGTCAGTAGTCAAGCATGTTGTTCGTTGTGGTATTTTCTTGGTACAAATCGCATCATAGCTACAGTAGTCCAGGGGTCAACATTGTGTGTGTGTGTGTCTGTGGGTTTTTGCATTGTTGTTTCGCTCGTGTTGTAAAGTTATGTGTTTCTTGTCTGTTGTTTTTGGAGATTGCTTCGGGCCACGCCCTGTTCATGTGTTACTGCAGTCGACATGCCTTGGCAAGACAGTATCGCATGGAACCAACAGCTGCCTGTGCGAATGCTCACCACTCGCGATTCCCGCGGGACCGTTCGCGCAGCCAGGTCTCCGAGCCCTGACTCGTTCACCCTCGAAGAAACAAACAATTAAAGCACGCGCCCTAATAATCCCAGAGCTTGGCCCCAAACACGGCAATGTACGACGCTGTGCGAGGTTGTGCAACCGGAAGGAAGAAGCCTTTGAGAAGTTCAGGCGCCCCAGCGGCTTCAGGCATACGATCCTCAAGCAGAGCACGGATTTGGAATTTCCCGTCATGCACAACCCGAAACCCGGGACTTGCTTGCGAGCAGCGGTGCCTGTCCTGGAGGGTTCATCCTCCTGTGCCGGCTATGTGTGCCCGAAAAGCTGCAAGCCGAAGCCTTGGATCGAGTCCTATCTCTGTGCTGGCCCGACTTGCAGCAAGGAGGACAAAGCTCGATGCTGCGATTGTGCCGGCTCCAATTCTCCCAACTCCCCTGACAGCTCGCCTGCTCTCCCCTGCTTCTCCTGGAACACATCTACTTCCAACTCACGAAGCCCGTCTGTTGACGATGTCGTCAAGCAGTGCGGTGGCGAGCTTGGGTACATCTTTGGCATGGCCAAGGGGGGTGTGCTCCAGGTCCGTCATGATGTGGTGCTGCCGAGCCGGAAAGCCTTTGCAGAGGCATTGCAGGTGAAGGACACTCTGCATGTCACGCCCTTGTCTCAAAATCTTCAAAGCTTGGTCTTGAAGACCAAACGGACAGACGATGGCGTGCGCTTTGGCATCTGGGACTTTGAGCAAAGCTTTTCCGTGCGTGTGTGGCTTCAATCAAGCCTAGTCGGGCCTAGTCAGAAGGTAGTTATCATCCTTTACCCTAAACCAGAGACCCAGGCTTCTATTGTGCCGCTGCTGATGGCGACTGCCAGCTCTGGCAAGTCCTCCTGGACTCGACGGCCAAAGGCAAGGTCACGCTCAAAGAACTCCAGGAGAATAGCGGGATCAGGGTCTAAGATAGTTGTGGATTGGAGTACCAGGTTGATGGATTAAAAGGTATAGGGAGTCTTTACAAAAAGGCCAGTCTCATATGGCAGGTGCTGCAGCCGATGCCTTTCTAGCGTCGCAGGCCGGGGGCCCGGACATCAAACCCATGGCGGGGACGACTTTCGTCATCTACAAGGTGCAGCGGGCGGGGTTAAGCTTGTTGTTTGCATTGGTTTGTTAACACGTTGCGAAGTATGTTTTCCGTGGAGGTGGTTTCTATTAATTTCAAGAACATGCTTCAACGCACGACACACGGCTGGCGAGAGCTGCTGCGCCCGCTAAAATTGTGCGAGTATGGTGGCGTGGCAATTCGGTCGCTGCACAGCTACACATGTGGTGCTGTGACGACGACTAGTGCTCGGAATTGACCACTCTCTCGGTGGACCCGGCGTGCCTGCTCTCTCCGGCAAGGGTGATTAGTCGTGGATTCCAATACATTGCCTTCACGTAGGCCTCGAAGTGTCTGCATCCTGCCAGCACATGCGGGGAACGCAGTTGGTCATGTCCGTGGCTTAAAAACGCGCCAAACCCGCCAGACAAGGCGGGGAAACATATGGTAATCGATATTCCCGCGCCAGTACGGTTAATCATCTTGGGGTGGTGGTATCTCTGTGAATGTGGTGCCGCGATGATTCGAATCTGAGCCTCTGACATGTCTTGATCCCGCCGGTACATGAGGGCAGACATTTTGCTCATGTCCCTGAATCCGGGGTACGGGTGCTGCCCTAATGGAGCCATGACGATTCGTGTTGAATTAACAGCCTGATCGATCGATGCGGCGTGTCTGCATCGGAAGGCGCTATTCATCGGGAGCTCCAATCCGTGTACATGAGGAGAAGGAATTAGGGCATGTCTTTGAATCCTACGTATCATTTTGGTCCTGGCGTGGCGAAGCTGACAATGTGGGAAACTTTGTGGTAAGGGTGTTTGTAGTTTGTAGAACGCTGAGCCTGGGGCGAATCGGCCAGACCAGGCGAGTCCCGGCAGTTTTGTATGGAATTAAGCAGTTGCAAGTCGCTTGATGGTCTACGGGGAAGCAAGGCCGCAGACATCGGGTGTGCTCAGTTGTTTATCCCCAAGGTGATGGATCCAGCGCGCATTTGGCAGTGTGGTGGCGCCAAGGATAGGGCGCCACAACAGTGCGGGGACGGCTTAGTTTCAGGAAACGAGGAGTGCGACTTTGCAGCCGCATCTGCAAGCAGGGCACAGCAAGGCTGCAATACCACCTGCCAGGCGGATTTGTATCAACAGCTGTGAGAGTCTGAGGTCCTAGGACGACCTGCAACAGTTACTGGGGACAGCTAGTTAGCTTTATGATCCCGAGGTGGACATCGGCTGGGGGTGCAGCACCAGTCCCTCCTTGCAGTGCGCTGCCCTGTGTGGAGATGGGCTCGTTCGGGACAACGAGACCTGCGACGATGGCACCAACTTTATCTGGGGAGGGTGCACCAACGATTGCACCCAGCACACCCAGCTCAGTTATGTTCCGTTCAAGTCCTGTGCAGCTGGCCCCAAACGCGTCGAGAACACTGCCACAGAGCTGGAGGCCTGCAAGAACGCCTGCGATTCCCAGGATCGGGCTCGGCAATCAGCCACAGGTCGCTAGACCTCTCCCAAAAGAACTACTACTTTTGGATGTTGAAAACTGCTAGGTCCGGGGGGGAGTCTATGTTCCAGAGTTGTTTCTCTTCTAGGGGCAGGATGGAAAGAGGGAAGGAGGGAGGGAGGCAGGCAGGAAGGAGGGAAGCAATAATGCTAACAAGGGCATGTAAGGGCTCCGGAAATGTACGGAGCGAAATCTCTGTGTGAAAGAAAACCCGAGGAAAGCGACACAAAAAGCAAGAAACAGCTGACATGTCGAGCCTTCTGTCAGCGACTAGGGACTGACCCGAATTTCCCCAAGCCCCAGACAAGTTTTCTTCTGCGCTCCAGGAGACCTGCGCAGCAGTGGAGTGGTCCGGGGGCCACTGCCACCACCTTTTCGAAGCACGGCTGAACATGGCTGAACACACCTTTTGCCTTCTGGCTTTGCAGTGGTGTGGGTGAGTCAAGAAAGAGTTTCCCTCCGAATCTAGGTCTTGGCGCTGGTGTGTATCTATGTACGTATGTATGTATGCATGCATGTTTGTGTCGACAGATAGATAGATAGGTCGATAGGTCAGATAGATAGATTGATAGGCTTCCGACGAGGCATACTAAGACACTAGCAATATGGACCTTGGGCCGTGCGTGGCATAAGAGGGGTTAGACTGAAGTTGTTGAGAGTTTGGCTCCGTTGTGCCTGTTTAGCAGGCTTTTTTTGATTTGCTGCATTTGTAGGGGGACACCTTTCAAAGTCTACGGTGTTACATGAAAGATATGATCGCTTGGCGCTTGTTCGCAGACCTCGTTTAGGGGTGTTCCCAGACAAAAGATTATCATTACAAGAGAGTTCGAGCCTAGGCCTTATAAACCGCAACATACCTTAAACTACTGGCATGCAGAAGACTGTCCAAGTCACAACACCCTAGAACCTGAACTGTCCTGGCTAAGCCTGTCGCCAACTCGAGGAGCCTGTGGCCACCTCTGTGGGCCAAGGCCCGGCCGATTCCAAGGATGAGGCCGAGGTGTGCTACGTGAAGACCAGGCAGCTCAGTTGTGACTTCTATGTTTTAGGCTCCCTTATGTTGAAAACGCTAAGGCCCAGCCCGTCAGTATACGGCATACACTGTAGACAACTCCCACAATGAGGTATCTGCTGGTCACCGAGGGGTTGGAATCCCTGGCAGGGGACTCTGGCCTGCACCCAGCGTTGCATCATTCCCAGTCGGAGGGGGCGGGGTAGCGGGTTGGATTGAATTTCAGCACAGGGTGCCCTTCGTTCCACATCTTTTCATGAGCCCGTGTGCTTCAGCCGTTTCCAGAGGCCTCCCGACTCCCCCATGCAACGCAGGCTTGGGCCGCTGCCGTGCGGCTGACCAATAACTGTTCTGTAAGACAAAACCGCACAAATCTACTTGACAACAGATTCAACCAGAGAGCAATGTCCCGAAATTCCAAGCAGTAGAGAAGAAGACCTCCATCAGTAGCTTGGCCAACGCTGATAACTGCTATGCACACGACATGCGGCGACGGGAGGAACCAAAAGGTAGCCTTATATGCGAGCTGAACAGTACTTGTATTGCCATATTCGGAGTTTAATTGGCAAAAAACCCGCCCCCGGTATCCTCGCAGAGGGTTACAAAGGTGCCTCGCAAAATGAGGAATGTCACGCTAAGCTGCGATAAGGACACGCTGCAGCCGCGCAGAAGAGTTGCAAAAACGTTTCCAAGAAACGATGAATCTCGAATGTCCTCCAAACTGCTTTTGCACCGACGACACGCTGCATCCACACAGAGGGCTTCAAATCAACCATATTCCGAAAAAGGTAGAATGGCCTACAATCCCCGTATCCATGCGGAGGGTTGCAAAGTCGAGCCGAAAAACGAGTAATGCCCCACGAATTGCGCTGATGACACCGCGTCCACACATAGGGTCACGCAAAGGACATAGCACAAAATGCGCTCAAGACACCGCATGTACGGAGTACAACATATATCCGAAATGTGAGAGGGATGTCGCCCGAACTAGCTTCACGGCATGGCACGTGAAGGGTCACAAGCTCGATTCCTAAAAGTCAGGGGTGTCTGTCCCACGATCAACGCACTGCATGCCGTGATGACGTGAAGGGTTGCAAAGTCCGATAGGAAAATCAATCGTCGCCGCCGGCGCCGTCGCACAAACCATCGCGATCATCATCATCACCACCATCATCATCACCACATCCGCCGCCACCACCACAACCACCACCGCCGCCGCCACCACCAGCATCATCATTATGGCATGACGGCAAGCAACGCACTCCGACGGAAAGCCCTTCGTGCCCTGAAACCCTGAAAGTCTAAGCCCTACACCTGAAGCCCACCCTAACTACTCTTCAGAGGACATGGCGACTTTCAAGAAGCAAGTCCAGAGCAAGTGCGCGGAGAGGGGTCTGATGCCAGTGTCCATCAGTTCTACCAAGGTCAGCTGAAACCTGTCAGCGTAATGCAGACCCCTGATTAATAAATCCCCTCTCGTGATAGAGATCTTATTACAGAAAGGATGATTATGAATCAGGGGTCTACGAATAAAGCTAAATCGCCACCACCTCTTCCCTAAGCTCACCAAGATCCCCGAGAGCGGTGGTGCAGGAACTTGAGATCGCCTACGATTTTGTGAAAAAGACCGGCCACGATCTGACACAAAACAAAGGCATCCCAATTGGCTGGGCCATCAAGCATGGTGAGACCAACAGCTACTTCGACCTGGCCAATGCCTCTTCCGACGTGGACGTCTTCCTTGCAGAAGCCTACAGGACCTCAGAAGATCCTTTTAGTCACGACCATGAAATCACCGCTGACACGTCAGGAGCGGCGAATGGCAGACCAACCAGTGGACGACAAATGCAGCGAAGGCGGGGTTGGTTGGCTTCGGCTTCGGCGACGCCAAGTCCACCAAGCGTGCAGGGCTGCTGGGTGCCAAAAGCCCTAACAGAAGCTTAAAACCTCCTAAAGCCCCTTCAGCCCCTACACCCGAAACACCCATGTCGCCCTAGTCTCTCAGTATTTTCCCGGATGCGCAGCAGAAGGGTTCTCGTTTGAAGGTTGGGGGTCTGGGGGTTAGGAGTTGACGCGAAATGCGTGCGCAGCGCCCGCAAGCGTCCGCGTGTGTCTGATTTCGCGCTGTTAAGGTGGAACTCCACACGACGCGCGTCCCCACGGCGTTCGAATCGGGCAAGCTAAGGGGGAACTCCACGGCGTTCAAGTCAGGCAAGCTATAAGGGGGAACTCCACAGGTCGCGTGGGGGAAGCGAGTATCGGGCCCGCAAATGCATTCGGGTTCGTGGCTCCTATCAGGTTTGTTTTGCTGAGCCTAGAAGTTCCCAGGTTCCACGACTGGAAGCTTTCTGAGCATCCATCGGGATTGATCTGCGAGTACCTCAAGCTGCCCGAATTTTCGGAGGCCATCGGTTTCTTTCTTACATGGTACTTTGGAGCTCGAAGGATTATTCTACAGGAAGCCCATTATATCCAGCTAAGGGGCTGAAAACTGGCCCAAACCTGTACGTTTGCACCTGGCAAGCCCCCACGCGGGCAGATGTCTCGGTTGAGCTTTTGGTTTCGCAAGCCCTGAATTTAGGGCCGTGCTTGGGTTTCAAGCCCGGTGCTGGCCGTTTTCGCTGAGCCATGAGACCGCTGCTTGTAGGTCCAAGTCAGATTGGTGGCTGGTGGCAAGCGCAATCGCGGCAGAGTGGAGGTTTACCACCACCACACATGGGGCACTGTCTGCAGCAAGGCCATTTGGCTTCGGTGTGTCGCCGTTAAAGAGTCATTGAAGAAGCAACAGATGCAGCTACTCAAATGGGAATCTTCCACCCGTTCTTCCTCGGCAGGGCTTCACCGAGAAAGGTGCAGACGTCGTTTGCCGCGAGCTTGGCTTTCCAGGTGGAAAACTTCTCACAGGCGACTTCGCCGGAAGCCAGCCTGCAGTCTGTTTTGTGACGTTTGCAGAACTCGGATTTGGAGGGTAATGTTTCGCGTGCTGTGAGAGACCCGAGGAAAGGGCACTATTTGGATGGCCGAAGTGGCGTGCTCCGGCAAGGAGCGCTCGCTCCAGTCGTGCCCATTTCCAGGCCGGAGCAGCTTAGGTTGAGGGGTGTCGGGAGTGCGCGGCGAAACTTCTACTACGGTCCGCCGTTCCTTAGAGAAGAAGTTACACTAGGGTCCTTGCCCAAGAAACATCAGATCCAGATCAGGTGGTTATAGAGCGAATCAGAGCCACCTTATTGGGGTCTTATGTCGTCGGCGCCACAAGGAAAGGTTGCCGAGAAGCAGGCCAGTCAGACCCCAAAGCTCGAAAGCAGCAGACCGTAACAGGCGCTACACCGTCAAACCCTAAACCGCCATTGTCCCAAGAGCCTTGCAAAATTTAGATATTTCAAAAGGCGGGCTTGAAATTAGGCATGATTACCATTCTCCCTTTCCTACCTTCATCCCACATTTGGAGCCTGATGAAACATGAGCTGCGACTGCAGGCTGGGCGAAGCACGACTGCAGCCACGAGCAGGACGTCGCTGTGGAGTGCCAGGCCCGAACTCTATGTACTTAAAGAAATGAATAATAGCTAACAAACAAAAAACGCTGGGTGTACGTAGGGTTAAGGTTCATGGAGTACAGACACTTTCAAAAGCCTCCAGAAATCTCAAACTACAGCCCTAAAGGTTTTGCACTTAAGCCTGGCATGGTAAGTGTCCGTACAACTAGGAGTAAACTTGAGAAGAAAAGTGCTGTGTCAGGCCCCATGTATCCACGGCAACCGTCCGGAGGTACCAGTGCGACTGGCGGGCGGCACTGCCTCCCGCGGACGAGTGGAGGTGTACCACGAGCACAAGTGGGGCACGGTCTGTGACGATGCCACTCCGATGCAGCAGGGGACGTGATCAACTTTTGCCATATGTAGCGGTGGCATGTTTGCCATTCAAGGCTTACCATGTAAAACCCGACACGAGCAGCTTTGTCGTCTGGTGAGGGGGCCAGGATCTCTCAAAAGACTTAAAAGACCGGATAACCCCACATGTGAAGATTATCTTTTCGTAAAGCGCGCAAAAGTGAATAGGAGTATTGAGTGAAGGAGTATAAGTGAGTGAGTGAGCGAGTGAGCGAGCGCAGGAGTGAGTGTGTGCACGTGGGTGTGGGCAAGTGAGTGCGTGCGGCTTCTCACAGAGCAGTCTGTTTAGTGGCGTTTACAGTCTTCCAGGTGCTGCATCCAGCAGAACGCTCTAGAGAGGGCATTTAGTGGCGGGCGTTTACAGTCTTCCAGAGGGTGCATGGTGGCCGCGGGCCCTCCCACGCGCGCGCGCGCGGCATCCAGCAGAACGCTCTAGAGAGAGCGTTTTAGTGGCGTTTACAGTTTACAGTCTTCCGGAGGGTGCTTGGAGGATCATGGGACCTAGTAAGTATGGTTATAAGTATCCTAAGTGGGGATAACTATAAGTGATTATACGTCTAGTTACCTTAACCCGAGTTACTAAGTCCCACGATCCGCTAAGTGGTGGCCGGGGAGCCCCCACGCACGCGCAGCATCCAGCACAACGCTCTAGAGACGGCGTTGAGAGGCGTTTACAGTCTTCCAGAGAGCGGTGACCAGGGAGCCCCCCACGCACGCACACGGCATCCAACAGGGCGCTTTGGAGAGGACGTTTAGTCGTTTAGTGGCGTTTACAGTCTTCCAGTTGTGTGATGGTGCGGATGGGTGTGGTGGCCGGGGAGCCCGCCACGGGCGCGCGGCATCCCGCAGAACAACAGAGCCCTCTAGAGAGGGCGTTTAGTCGCGTTTACAGTCTGCTGTTGGCCTTTACAGTCTGTTGTGTGTGCATGTGTGTGAGTGAGAAAGTGAGTGATGTGTGAGCGTGTGAGTGCCCATGATGAGAATGAGTGCGCGACGTCCGCTGTTGGCGTTTACCGTCTGCTGTGTGTGCGTGTGTGTGAGGGAGTGAGTGAGTGAGTGAGCGACAGTGATGTGTAATGTGTGTGCGGAGGAGGAGGGGAGGAGGAGGAGAGGGAGAAGGAGGCGGGAGAGCCCCAAAAGTAGGAACCCCACACAGAGATGTGGGTTATGATTCGGCGTTCCTTGTGATTTTATGTGTGTATATATTAACATACAATTATGATCGTCATTGCAGTTCCAAGTTTAAGCATGATTACGATATATATATATATATATAGTTAAAGGTCATATATACATACATATACTGATACATACTTATATATGTATACAGATAGATGGATAGATACGTAGCTCATAGATAGATAGATAGGCAGGTATATGTACACGGTACACCCCCCCCTATACCCAGGCCGTGCTCTGTTCAGGCAAGCCCAGTTGGTTCGTGGCCCTTGGGCTATGCATGGCTCGGGCTGGTTTTCTAAACTATGGCCCCGGCTCCCGAAGTTTCTCGACAGTCATGGAAAAAGTTTGAGAACGCTGGCTTTGCCAACGTTTCCGTTGGCAAATCACGGGGAGCATTGTTTTATAGATTTTTCCATGTTAAAGGAAATGGTTTTCCAAGCTATGGCTCCAGCTCCCGAGGTTTCGGGAAATTCATGGCAAGCATGGAAATTTTCCGTTGGCATATTGTGGACAACATTGGTTTTACCAATGTTTTTTCATAATTCCGCATTTCTAAACATTGGTGGTACCACTCGCATATACACCACACATTTCATAAAATAAATGTAGAAGGTGTTTACTTATGTTGCTTTTGCTCGGGTGGGTTCTTTAGCCGGTGCGCTTGAATTCTTGTGTTGCTTTAACTGGTGCTTACACGACACTGTCAGTAATTCGCACCAAGATTTGATAAACATGGTCCGTTTAGCCGTCGTCATTGGTAGGTGCAAGATGTCGAAAATGAAAAGACGCCAATCCATAGTTCGTCCAACAGAATGGCCATGGCCTCCATGATGCACACACTTATCCCCGTCTCCTGCGGCCGATGGCGAGGATGATCTTCGCCTTGCTGATGTTTTCTGGTTGCAGTTGCTTTCGTTTGGTGTTTTGGGGCACGTGTTGGGGGTGTGGGGAAGGATGCGGTTGCTTATGGCGGTGGGCTTGTATTTTATGTTGGGCTGGTGCCGCAAGGAATTCAAAATTAAGGCAGCGGGTGCCCATACATGCTAACTGTATCCCCAGTTCCTACACCAGAAGCCTGACCGTAGGAGGATTTTTCAAACTTTTCCAGAACCCAGGAACCTGTTTTCATGTGCTTAAGACAGCACTTGCAAAGAACAACTTGTGACCGACTGCAAGGCTCAAAGAAGTGTGAAAATAAGTGACTCGTGCGTTTTCCGCGCACTCTGTTGTGGTAGCGGAGCCTCGCCAACAGGGCAGGCTCGTAGGGTAGCTAGCTTGTGCCCCGGGCCCTTGCTAGTTCTTGAGCCCGATTGTGATCGGCATACTCCTCGCGTGTCGTGTGCCCGAGTGCTGTGGCGGCCAGAGCCTCTACGTGACTTACCTCTTTGGTTTTCTTCAAAAGTCGGTCAAGTGTGTGTTCTTTGCGGTGCTTGCAGAGAGGATACAGAGAACTGAGCCTTGAGCCATCGAGTGTGACATGTCAAGTCCTCCTCAAGGAGATCAAGGACGCCAGCCTGGGGGAGGAGCATCCCCTGGAGGTCAGAGTGCCACGTCGGCACCTGCAGCAGGGTCGGCGCCCGCGCCGCCTGTGGACCCTGGAGTTGTAGTGCAGCAGTTGGCAACAGCTTTGTCTTTGCTGGCTGCGAACCAGCAAGATTCTTCTGTGAGAGAAGCCAAGTTTGTGAAAGCTCCTGATGTGTTTGCGCCCAAAACCCTTGATGAAGAACTGGCCGGTTGGCCGGATTGGTCCTTCTGTTTTCGTAATTGGCTTTCAGTACAGGACGGGGCATTTAGGGACGATCTTCTGAAAGTCGAGAAAGCCACCGAGATCCTCGCATTTGCCGATTACGAGTCCGGAACCAAAGCTCGAAGCATCAGATTGTACTCTATATTGGCGACTTATCTTCGGAACCGTCCTCTCCGATTGCTGCGGTCGGTAGCAGACGGTGACGGGTTCCGTGTGTGGCGCTCTTTGGTAGATGAACTCCAACCTTCTAGTCGTCCTCGAGCACTTGCGTTGGCACAGGCTTTGGTAAAGTTCCCACCGTACAAAGAGGGCGGCAGTTTGCTAGACTACACCCTTGCGTTCGAGAGACTCCTCACAGAGTACGCAAAGGTTGCACCTCATCCCTACGACGACAACTTGAAAATTTCAACGCTCCTGGCAGGACTGCCTAGCGACGTGCGGAAGTACCTGGAGCTGAACATGGACGACAGCATGACCTACGAGAAGCTGCGCACCCGGTTGCTGCAGTATGAACGGACTACCGCAGGGTGGTCTTCGGAGCATGTGTTGCGGTCGGTTGGCATCGACAAAGATTCGAAGTTCTTGGACACGTCAGATGTTGTGCCAATGGAGGTAGATCGCGTTGAGAAAGGAAAAGGGAAGAAGGGTTTTGGCAAGAAGGGCACCGGCAAGAAGGGCGACAACAACTACTATCAGAAGGGCAAGGGTGACCATTGGAGCAAAGGTAGTTACAACAACAACGCCTACAACAACAACTACAAGGGAGATAAAGGAAAAGGAAAAGGCTCTTGGGGAAAGGACAAAGGAAAGGGGCATGGAGGCAAGAAGGGAGGCAAGGGAAAAGGCAAGCAGATTGGTCCCTGTCACAAGTGCGGTCGCATGGGACATCTTCAAGCTGATTGCAGAGTAGGGTTTGTGCAGCAAGTTCAACAGCCAGTTCCTGATGATGCTTCTACTGGTATTCCTTCGTCTGCAGCGTCTACTGCTAGTGTGCCTTCGTCTTCTACCTCTAGTGCCCGGAACCCCTCGAGAGCAACCACAAATGTTCGTCGTCTTGAAGTAGTGCACGAGCAGCCCAATGACATCAACCTAGTGATCTTCGAGACTCCCCAGACTCCCACCTGTGAGTTCTTCGATTTGGCCTGTGAGGACGATGACTGGGATGACTATTTCGACGAGCCCGATGAGTACCAGGTACGTGCCGTGGAACTTTGTGCGGGAAGTGCCTTAGAAGTTGAAGCTGAAGCCGAAGCTGAGCTCCAGTCGAGTAGCACGCTGGTGTTTGACATAGCGGAGAGTGATGAAGACAGTGATTGTGAGCATGACGTTCGTATGGTCAGTGAGCAGCCGATGCAGCATGAGTTTGAGCAAGTGATCTTGGATTCTGGAGCGGATGTGACAGTGCTTCCCCTCTCCCACGGCGCGGTAGGAGAACCCAATGCAAACAATACCATGATCCGCGATGCCCAAGGTAATGTCATCCCGATGGCGAGCTACAGAAAGAACGTGGTCTTTGAAGTCGAGGGCAACGAAGGCCAGCGGCTGTTCTTCCGGGACAAGGTTGTCGTAGCTCAAGTGAAGCAGCCTCTTTTGAGTGTGGGGAAGCTGATTCGAGATCACTGGAGCCTCGGGGATGTTGACGGCCGTTTGCAGATGAGCAAGGGTGGCAACAGCTTCCCAGTGCACATGTCTCGGAACTCGCTTGCAGCAAACATGAAGATTTATCGACTTGAGGAACATGTCCGTGCAGTTGTGATTGAGCTTTCCGAGTTGATGGAGAGCGGCACTGAGATTCAAGGGTGGAGCCTCTCCCCAGATGGGGGCCCCATGCACGTGAGCACAAGCAGCAGCTGCACCGTTGATCCTTCTCTGGTGTTCCCTTCGCAGCAGTGGCCGTTTCGCACCACGTTGCTTTCACAGGGTGATCGTCGATATGAAGTGTTTGAGTCTGGCGAATATTGGGAGGATCGGAAAACTTTGAGCACAGAACGTCCTGCAACCAAAGTTGTTACTATCTTGAGTGCTGCACCAGTGGA